AGAAATACTTAATGTATTTCTTACCTCTATTTTTATTCATTCCCGATTGGCTCTTCTGCCTGAACCTCCCACATATCTAAGAATCAGTTTATCACCTCCTCCAGAAAACCTTCTGTAATACCTCCCTCTCCCACTATTTTAGGTTTTGATATTACTCTTTATCATCTCTTTATCATATTATCTTTATCATCATTTTGCACTTTTACGCTATACTTTAATCATCAGAACAGTAACATAAGGTAGGTGTTAAAGGGCAGACTAACCAGATTGCCTGGGTTCAAATTCTGGCTTTGCCACTTAGTAGGTGTGTGACCTTGAGCAGGTTACATAAGCAATTTGTGCCTCAGTTCTCTCAACTTAGAATGGGTATGATAATCCTTCCTAGTGTTTAGAGTTATCACAAGGCAGTGGCTGTCAAGGAGTAAATGCTAAATAAAAATTGGCTACCACAGTTATCTATGTGTCTGTCCATAGGTCTCCCCACTAGATTATGAGCAACCAGAAGGCAAGGCTGTTAGCTTGTATTCTGTGCAATACAGTAAGTATTCAGTCAATGCTCCTGAAGGAGCAGCTGGTGAGGCAGCTCTAGGACAATGGGAAGTGCTACGCAGGCTCCTTCCCTCAGCAGATATATACATCTTTTTAATTTGTATTGTCTCCAATTTTTCCAATTATAGCCACCTTTTTCTTATTTAATTCCAACCAAAACCCTGAAAATTTCACTCTTATCTAATTAAAAGTCAACAAACTGAAACCAATAAAGTATCATAAAAAAGTGTGTTCATTCTAAGAAGCTTAACTCCATTTTTAAGCCTTAAATCTATTTAAGATTTACGATTCCCCTTCACACCCAGGACCTACCACAGCAAAAGCCTTCATGCTTTCATATATGCTATGCTATTCCCTTTGCTTAGAACCTTTTCGATGTCCAGCTCACTCTCTTTGGGAATTTTTTTCCTGATCCCAGGATAATGCAGATGCCCCTCTTCTGTGCTTCCAAAACAGACCCTACCTACAACTATATGATGACAAAAAAATGTGTCATCCAAACTGAATGTTGTCTATCACCACACTCTTGGCAGGGATTATAATTATGTGGCTCCCTTGCTTTGCTGGAAGCTCCTTGAGATCAAGGCATTGTCTTAGTCATCACTGTATCCCCCAGAGCCTTTAACAACTGCTTGGCATTTAGTTGATATTTGATCAATTTTGAAAGAATAAATGTTGAAATAGGTGTTTTATTTTGCTTATCAATTCTTCCTTCCTTGTAATCTCTACAACCTACCAAGGGGCTCGAAGTCACAACCCTGAGATCAAGAGTCACATGCTCCACTGAATGAGCCTGCCAGGCACTCAATTTTTTGCATTATTTCAATCATGGCAACTTTTACATAGTGGTCAAAAATTTACAAAGCAATTTCCCATACATTAAACAACTGATTCTCACAACAACGCTGAGACAGATATTTTCATTATCCCCATTTTGTGAGTAAGTTTAGTGGTTGATCACTGAAGTGCTCATTTTGTAAGTAGAAGATGGGACTCGAACTCTGGAGTCTTGATTCAGAACCCTGAGTTTCAGCTTTTATAAGCCAGACAACACTCTTCCTGGCAATGACTATTAACTGAAGTGCCGCTTTGGAACGTCCTGAGCCTCCCAGTCACCCACTCTCACAGAGCCCCATATTGCAGGCAGAATGCCCTGCCCCCACCCCATCTCCTCTTCCATCTGCTGACTCCCACGGCCTATCAGAACAAGCCCTTCCCTAATACTAAAAGATGTAAAGTGGAGATGGAACTCTTTAGTTATCTTGAAAAAAGGATTATGTGTATCTCACATAGATAACAAAAGAAAAATCTGGTTGGTGATTTAATTCTTTAATTTTCCAATATTATTTGGAAAATGATTTTAAACTCAAAGCAAGAGTAGTGTAAAAAAAAAAAAAAACCCATGTCCCGAACATCAAATAATGCTGTGATTAAACTTCTATGTACTATTTTGGGGCGTTGTTTTCAGAACATCATCAACCACTTCACACTCATTCTTCTTACTTGCCAGGCTAAGTAATAAATGATTCTGTACTTCGACTAAGATCTCTTGTAGTTACCATACAAGCCACAGTGTAAGTATAGTTGGAAATCTATCTGAAATATGTGCCATCTCCTCCCATGCCACATCTAAAAACTGCACAGTCATTAATCCCCTTCTTCATTCGAATTTTCTTTCCTTGACGTTTGGCATGCTACCTCTAGATACTGATCAAGGGGAAGCCTTCACACCGGTATCAGCACAGGGATATCAGCACAAGGATATCTTCATGGCAAATATAGCCACTCCTTGCCTCCCAACTATGAAATTATGCAACTCTCTACAAATATGAAGCTTCTGGGTTTTTTTAATGAGTATGACCAGTATAAATCAACCCATCAGAGACTGGACATCATCATTAGCCCGAAAAAGTGTGAGAACTAGCCCACCGAGGTAAATACTTCATAAGGACAAACTTAAAATAGCAATCCTGTTATATTTAAACGCTCACGTCTGTTACTTGATCATAGAATTTTAAACCAGTCCAATGCAAAACATTCCTTTTCTCCACCTAGTCAATTCTCACCAACCTGAATAGGGAATAGAGAACATAAGGCCATGAATCATCACAGACCATCCTTAGGCAGGGTGAGGCATACACAACAGCACAGTTATGATCAAATGTTGCCTCTTCTTGTTTTAAACAAGGTACTGACTACTAACAGTTATTATCTCTGGGAAGTGGCAATCAGAATGGTTTTCATTTTTGTATTTTATGTACTCTAGTATAGGTTGAATTTTTACAAAGAGCATGGATTTTATAAGTATTTCCATTTTGAGGAAAAAATAGAATATATATGAATCACTTTTAATTGGTTCACATAAAAGCATATAAGAATAACAATGTCAATATTTCAGGGTAAAATATACTAGCACAAGAAAAAAAATATCAGGAGAAAACATCCTATAGAGACCAAAGTGACCTCTCAAGCAGATGATTTTCAAATACAACTCAATTTTTTTTGGAAGACAACAGATTACAGTTTAAAAATAAAAATCTACGGAAACTTTTCTGCCTTTATATCCCAAACGGTTGTCTCCCCTTTGGGCCAGAGATTAATAGCAAAGGCTTAGCACTTTCCTGGCTGGAGGAGGAGAGGCCTGAAAGCAGGCACTTTTCTTCTGCACATTAGGATAGGAAATGGTGCTACAAGGAACACAGAGACACTCTTAAAAAGTTCTATGAACTAATCTTCTCCAGAGCCTGGCAAAAGAGAATAAAGAAACAGTACAAAAATTTAGCACTGTTAATGTGAAATCAAAACACAAGGTCAAGAGGCCGAGACTGTGCTCATGCCCTGCTAAGAACCTGGTTAAATATGGTTTCTTTTTTCTCTGACAACGATGCACCAGGGCTCCCCCACTACTCCCCCAAAGTAGGGCATCCCATTAGAATGGGAAGAACAGAAAGGCTTCAGGAAAGGCCACTCAACCTGAGTTATTCTACACTGAAAATTTGGTTGTAATGGAGAAATCTCTTAAAATGAATATAAGATGTTAATTAAAGACTCTACTACAGACTGTCTTTATTGATCTTTGAAAATAGTTTCAGGTTCACTACGTTTCAATTTTCTCTAGGATGAGGAAGCCCCCATCTAGCTCCCAAAGCCATTCAGTTATTATTGAGACTTTATTAGATAGCGAGCAAGTGAATCAAAAGTTTTGAGGTTGTGATGGCCAGCCATCATTCAAGCTTCATCTTTTTGTCCCAATTCTCCCCATCATATCCATTTGCACTGACAAAATTTCATAAAATCGAATTTCTTCGTTTCAAAGGAGAAGATAGTGATTGCTTTGAGGTTAACACGAGAACTGCATCCTTCACCATTTCTGCTCCAAAGTGCCTTGAACTTCAAATCATGAAACTGATTCTAAGTCGCCTCAAAAAGCCTGGAACCACTCCTTGGGTTTGAGAAAATCGTTCCTGTAAGTTTTCCTGCCTTGAGACAGTGAAACATACCGTATGGAAATACACTCAGGCCAATGGAGAATCTGCGCGTACCTACCACGTTTAAGCTCGACTGGAGTCGTTATTATTACACACATACAAATGCCCTACTGTCCCCAGAAAACATCAAGGACTTTCATGGACATCTCCCCGACGCTCCCAATTTGGAAAAGGTCATGTCAACCTTTCAGATCATACAGACGCGTTCGTTGCTTAGTTTACCTAGGACTGGGAGGGTGGCTGAGCTCAGACCCAAGCCTACATATTTTAGTGGTAACGACTCCCGATCTACACCCAACACATTTGCCGAACACTAACAGAACTTCTAGCAAGCGCCCACCACTGGACTAGAAAGCACGTTCTTCCCAGGAAACATCTTTTCCACCGAAAATTCCCAAACCCGAAACTCACTACTTTTTACTGAACAAAAAGCGTGTGTGCCGGCAAGAGGGGGGTGAAAAAGAGCGTGGCAAGAATTTGCACGGCTCTTACGCCTCCTCCCTCGGAGCGCGCCCAAGTCTGCGGCCTCGGGCTCCGGGACACTTCCCCTCCCACCCGCCGAGGAGCCGCAGCTGTAAGTTGAGAGAAGCGGGCTCTAGGCACGTCAATCAACCGAGTCCTCCCGCCTCCCGTCTACACCTCCCCACCCCTCCCCCCCAAAAAAATAAAGACTGAGAAAGAAAGGTAAAAGAAGGTAACTAATTTGGGAACTAGTCTCCGCGGGGGCTTCGCCTCCGACCCAGGGAGGCCGCACGTCCCGGACCAGGCGCGCCCGCGAACGGCGGGATCGAGCAGGCGGCCCGGCAGCCGCCCGTCGCCGGGTCCTCGCGGCGCGTCCTCCGCGCTCTGGATCCCCGCACGGGTCGGCACCGCTCCGGCCCCGCACTCCGCCAGGCCCGCGGCCCGCGTCCTCCCGCCCGGGCCAAAGTTGCGCAAATAGCCCCACAACTGGCAGATACTCACCGGCCGCAGCAGGAACCGGGGCTGCGGAGGTTTTAGGGAGTTTAAGGCAAATCAGCCACGGGAAAGGCGGGCGGAGGCGAAGGGGCCGCGAGCTGCAGTGGCGGCGGCGCGCGGCGTTCGGGCTGGGCTGCGCGGAGAGGCTCTGGCTCTGCCAGGGACTGTGCTGCAACAAAGGACTTCCGCTGCCGCACAGCCGCGCCTGCCGCACCGCACTGAGCCGGCCCCGCTTACGCGGCGACTCCGGGTCTGCCCACCAGTTCGCTGCGGCGTCCGCCAGCCTTCCCCTCCCTCTCGCCCGCCCACCCACTCCGCCGCTGGCTGCTAGGGGCACCCGCGGTCGCCTATTTGTTTGCAACAAGTTTCTGCGTCGGGCTCCGGGGAGGCTGGCGCAACCCGCACCGCGGGGGCCGTCGCGGCGGCGGCTTTACCACCCCTCTCGCCCCTCTCCCAAGGGTAGGCTTGGGACCTCCTCCTCCTCCTGTTTGCACAGCTGGATGGGACTGGGCTCCTCCCGACTCCCCAAGGGCAGGATGCTGTTTTCGCCCTCCGTCCAGATGTCAGACCCCTGCCCCGGAGGGCTCAGCAGCTAGGCCTTCCCTCTCGGTTCGTCCCTCGCGTTCTGGGGTCGCCGGCACCCTCGCCCTGTCCCGTGCGCCGCCAGTCGGTCCGGGGTCGCCCATTCCCCGCGCTCCCCCCACTCTGCCTGCCATGGGCCTGTCCGCCTCTGGCCTTGAGTCACTTCCCCCGCCATGCCCCACCCCACCCAGCCCGCCTCCCCTCCCAGGCTCCAGCGGCTCAGCCTCCTTGGCCCCGCGCCCCCACCCCTCTCCCCGCGAACACGCGGGCGCATCCTTCCCCACCCCCACCCCCAAAGTGAGGCAGTGCTGTGCTTTTGCACCCCCTGGGGAAAGTCCCCGGGTCACGCGGTTGTGTGTGGGGAGCCTGTGACGCTCAGGCTCGTCTCCACGCTTCCGCCTACAGAGTCACGACTGAGAACCGTGGCGGAGGTACCCCGAGCGCGGGCCGAACCCCGCCTGGCCACTTGAGTAGGCGGGCGGGCGCGCACGTACGCACGCACGCACGCACGCACACTTCAGCCCCCGCGCCCCTCGTTCCCCGGCTACCAGGCGCGCGGTCACGTGGGCCCATCGCGGGGCGGCCGGCGCGGGAAGCCGCGCGAGAGCGGACCGCAGGGTGCGTGACCGGCGCCGCCGCGTGACGTGCGCGGCGCGGGAGCCGCCCCTCCCGCACGGAGGAGCCGGCTGGCCGCCGCGGCGGCGTCTGGGTAAGCGACGCGGCCCGGCCCCTGTGGGCTGCCCCGGGCTCAGTCCCTCCCGCCGCGAGCCGCCCGGGGCGGCGGCCTGCAGCTGCGCTGGTCGCGGGACAGATGCAAGTAGATGGGGAAAGGGGTGTTTTGGTCCGTTTGACATGTCAATCAGGGCACAGGAGGAAAATGGCACCCGCGAGTGAGCACTGGGCCGAGGATGCCCAGAGCCGCCTTTCGCTGCCCGCAGAAGGCGGCTGCTGGGGCCTGACCCCGCGCGGGAACCCCCGACGGGTCCGCGGCGTTCCCCGGGCGGCCGCGCGAACCCTTCTCGCAAGTGGGCGGGTCTCCTGGTGCAAACTGAGAGACGCTGCAGCCACTGTCCTCTCCCTTCCCCACCCCCGTTTGTGATTACCCCGTTTCTAGGGCAGGAAGTTCCTCCCCCTCCATAATTCATTTCTTCCTTTTTTCAGATTATATTAATCTCATTCTGAGTAAATCCAGTTTTTCTTTTTAAAGTTTGCGCGATCGTTAACTGCTTCCCTATCTCTCGTTATTTTGAGAAATCAAGCTACTTAGGCAGCACCTAGCGCTGTACTTGGAATTTGACAGCAGCTAACATGTTTCATAAAGTAACGCCCATTTCCCCCCAGGAAATTACATTTGGCATTCATTCTCTTGAGACTCGAGTTTTTTTGGCAAAACTGTTGATTCTCACAGGATTTTGTCAAGTGTGTAAAGTACACTTTAGGATGACAGATTTTAAAGCTGAAAGGGGCCTTACAGGAAATCTAGTTCATCCCTCTGTTTTACAGATGAAAACACCCGGCCTAAGGAACGTGTAGCTTGATCGAAGCCCTACACTTTTTGAGTAACTGGACTCCAGGGCTCCAGGCCTTGGTTATTGGGGTCTCCAGCACACCAGGAGCGCAGTGCCAGTCTAACCCACTCACTGTAGAGACAGTCTGCCAGAGGTGATTATACTTGGCTTGATTCGGATTATTGAGAAACAAGGCTTGGCCGTTGTGTGATGGCTCAGGTATTTTAAGGAATGGGGTTGGCATTATCTTTAGGTGGACTAGATTGCGCTAGGATGTATTTTGGGGCTCAAAGCCTGACTCCTCCAAAATTCAGCTCTACTCGGTAAGAATAACCAACATTTGCAGCACTGGTTGCTTCCTTAGATTAAGGCATCAAAGTTCTCTTTAGGAACCTAGATGTGTTTTGATTAAGGTAAACTATCCAGTATCAGAAATCAGTTCCTTAATAGGGAGCAGGATCCTGGGAGAGTACTTGGAACAGATTCGTTCTCATGGCTGGAAGGTTATCAGGAAAGAGTGGAACATCAAAGGGATGGTCAGCAACAAAGCAGGGAGGGGCCTCAGATGACTCGCTTATATATACCTTTTTGCCCAACCCTTCCCTTAATGTCTTATTTGGAGCTAGTGGAGATGGATTCTGCGGGGGCTGTTGGCTGTTTATTGAGCACCTGCAGTGGCTAGCCACTTTCATAGATGAATTTTGAGTACTTGACAAAAAAGGAAGTAGTACTGTTTCTATGTTAACAAACAACAGTCAGAGATTTACCTGGCTTCTGTGATGCTGTCACTTGCCGTGGAATTCAAGGCTAGATCACTTATCTCCCAAGTCCAGTCAGTGATCTTTTACATTGTGTCTTGCTACCACTTCAAGCCAGGAAAGGGATGAGAGAATCGCCTGTGGCTGATTTATTGGCGCCTGTGGTTGCCCAGAGAGGCTGAGCAGGACTTTCAGCTGCCCTCTTTGCTTTAGAAAATGGAGCTCTGTACTTCCACCCTATCTCCTGAGGGGAATGCGCAGGAGCCAGGCTGTCTAGCTGGGGAGGAGGGGCCCAGGAGTCTTGGCCGTAAAATATCCTGGCAGGGCAGTGCTGGGAAGTGTTGCATAATGCCCTCCCCACCACTGAACCAAAGTGATTTATTTACTGTGGCCCGTAGGTGGTGCTTGACCATCTTGTTAAAGAAAAACTTGTCCTTTTTTGTAATAATAGGGCCAGAACAGAGTTGGGGGTTTTATATTATCGCAGGGTTTTTTCCTTGTCTTAAAAAAGAAGTGCAGGTGCTCTTATCTTGATAAATTATAAAGTATTTGTACACCACTTCCTGTGCCCCCTTTCTGCTTATTTATTCCAATTGCATGTGAACTTCAATCTTTCCAGAGAAGAATGCTAAGAAAAATACTACTCCAATTTATAGTAACAGCCCAGGTTATGGAGTCAGACGTAGCAGTATAGATCGGATTTTTTTTTTTTTTTTAAGATTTTTTTTTTTTGAGAGAGAGAGAGAATGAGATAGAAAGTACGAGAGGGAAGAAGGTAAGAGGGTCAGAGGGAGAAGCAGACTCCCTGCTGAGCAGGAAGCCCGATGTGGGACTTGATCCCAGGACTCCAGGATCATGACCTGAGCCGAAGGCAGTCGCTTAACCAACTGAGCCACCCAGGCGCCCCAGACGTAGCTTTTGATCCCCACTTTATACTGTCTGCTAGCTGTGTGTTCTAAGCCCACGTTTTTCCTCATCTGTAAAATAGAAATAAAAATAGCACATAGTCAAGGTGAGGACTAAACAAATGTACATAGAGCACTTAGCACAAGGCCTTGCGTGTAGTATTTACTCATTATAACAGTAGCTATTTTAACTAGAACAGAATTCTCTCTAGGATAGGAAAGATACTGCTGCTTGAACTTGCTTAGGGAGAGTAGAGGAAGAGGAAAGTATTTGAAATAAACATTAGTTTCAGGATTAGTAATTGAATTTATTCACACATCTTCTTTCCCTTTGCGGGAATTTTTTTTCTTCTTTTTTTTTTTAATCTTAACTGAAGAAAAAGTGTTTATATTATTGTTAGTTATTTTTGAAATTTTTCTAAATCGTTTCTTCCCTGTACATATCAATCATACAATGACATTTTGTTCCTTGTGAAAAACTCTAGGCACTTTAAGCAAAGGACTTCATTAACCCATCTGGATAACGTGTTTGTGGAGCATTCTGTGGCAAAGGAAGTATTGGTTCACCTATATTCAGAAATTATAATTATTCTTGTTTGTACTGTATTCTAGGCTAGGTCTATACTAGCGTTGTTGTTATCCAGCTTCCTACTGTCCTTTGAGTACCTTATTTTTTTCTTTCAGAAATGCGGTCATTTTTTTTTTTTAGCAGACTAAGAAGAATTGTTTATTTTCCTTCACAGGGTTCTGATTTTTTTAAGGTTCACTAGCAATTTGCACTTACCGTGTTAGCACTCTTGTTTGCCTGGTGCTGTGGCTTTATCAGGCATCCCACATGTTGGTTAGATGGTTAGAGATATAGTAGGCTGGCTGTGTCTGGCAACAGGCAGGCCCCAAACTAACGTTTCCCTGTTCCGTTAAAGGTTTCTAGAGCATAACTGCTCTTCCTGTGTCATCTACCACGTCTACTTCTTACCCTCTTCTCTAATATGTTCAGTGATTTTCGTAAGCAGATGCCTAGAATTGCTGCACATTTTATCTCAATATTTTCAGATTTGCGATTTCCATATTATCTTCAGATGTTATGAAAATAGGCATAATGGTGTATGAGAGTAAATACTTCTTTTTCCTAAATACTTTTTTAGAAGTCTGAAGATAGTATGTTCCTCCTCTGCCCCCAGTGTCCAATTTACTAGTTTGAGAGCACTTTTGTTTCTTAGAATCTGGTTAATTTTTTTGTTTAAAGTTACAATTAGAATTACGATAGTTGATTTTTGTTCATTTAATGTAATTGGTATAATTCCCACAATTTGAGCACTTCTTGTAAAATTGCTTCTTTTTCTCTGTAATTTTACAGTTGAAATATCCTCTTCGGTTTCCTTGGCTCCCTTCTAACACAGTGGTTCTTGACTGAGCATCATATTAGAACCGCCTGAAGAGCTTTTTAAAAAAGGATCTGAGACTCACGCTCAGCAATTCTGTTTGGCTTGGTCTAGAGCAGGACGCAGGCGTCAGTACAACTCTGCATTGAAAGTTTTACAGTACAGTCAGTGATAAGAGCTACTATTCCATGATAAAATGATCTCCGCAAACATTCTTTCTCTAGGTTATAAAGTGTTATACCTCCATAATCATCATGTGAAAGCACCACTAAAAGGTTAAAATCATTGTATAAAGTCTGTTATCACGTCGCACTTTGAATATTTCTGCTTTTACCTTTGTATGTATAGCCATAAGTACCTCAGAAAAGCTGTACATATTCCTCTGCCAACTTTTCCGTCTCCTTGTCTTAAGGAGAATTTAGTAATAAAGTCACAGTGGTAGGAACCACAGAGAAAATATCTAAGACTGTTTATTTTCTACAGGGACAGATGCCCTACTCCTTTCGTCCTGTTTTTATTAAAGATTCTACAGCCTGAGAAAATGAAAAGCTGTATATTCCAGGATATCGTCTGGCTCCATAG